GGGCAGTTATCAAAGCACTTTAGTAAAATAAAAAGGATAGGGAGAATCTCAGGTGAAACTACGGTAAAGGGAAAGAACAACACATATTTAGGAAAACATCTGGAAAGAAGGGACATTGAGCCAAGATAATAACATTCTTTAAAATCTATACTAAGGAGTTTGGACTTTTCCCTCAAAAAACCGAGATTCATTAATTTATTAGCAAGAGTGATCAGAGCTGTGATTTAGAATGAGGAGGAGTCTGGATTGGAGAAGCCTAAAGACAAGGAGGCTGCAAGAGCTAGATGACTCACGCCAAAGGGCTAGACTAGAGCAGGCAGGCCAGAATGTTGGGTGCAGATAGAAGCCTGCTCCAGATATCTCAGCGTTTATTTTATGAAATGTCAGTGGGCAGAGCTATCCACAGCTTCAATTCCCATATTACAGGCTAAAAGACTATAGCTTTCTGTAAGCAAATGAGTACCTTATTAAGATGCTTCTCACAATTGTTAACCTAATGTAGTTTACAAAGGTAAAGTAAAATAGAAAGTTACAAAATCATCACATAAAAAGGATTATCTGAATACATTATGTACTGGCCCTGAGACCATTTTTAAACACTGAAGATGTGAAATAACCTTACAGAGTGTATTGATTCCAAAAATGTTCTGGTTCTCACTGTTCTCATCCTCAGAAAGGGCTGGTTCCTTGCTACCTTCCAAACAAGCTGAGGTCAGTTAATTTTAAGAAAATGTCCCCCATGTCCTTGACATTTACTCAAAGATATGGCAACTAATCAGGACTCATGTCCAAAATGGTGATTCTAGTGCCATCTGGAAAAAACTAGTTATCATTCACAAATTGCTTACTATTCCTTACAAATTTTTCCCTAAAAGTAGACATTTCTACCTTTCTTGAGTTCAAATTTATATATGCTCCAGGTCTTACACATCCCACTTTCAGAGTTGGTTAGAGAGACCATGACAAATCAAGTTACTTACTATAAAGATGTAAGTTTAAA